ACCGATCGTGGCAAAAATCAATACCAACTTTCCTTTGGTGTTTCTCGAAGTTTTAAAAAAAAATTAGTCCGATATCTCAAAATTTACGGAAGTTAGAGTGTTCGCGATTCTCTTTTGGGAGAGCTCGCTGGACCGCTGCGGTTGGAAGCAGGGCTGAGAGGACTTTTGTCCTTCGAGCCGGATTGCAGCGAGGCTCTCGGACGGATTAGCTCAACCTCACGGCGATCACGTAATCGGCGGCGCGCAAAGATACGGTACCACTCATTGATCACGTGATCTCACGATCCTCTCACGTAACTCTCATCGGCCGGCGAGACCCGACAGACACACTCACGCTTGCCGGACATCTCACTCCCCAAGTTCACCGGGGAGTATGCCGCATGGCCTGCCTTTCGAGATCTCTTCTCAAGTCTGATCATCTCGAACGAGCAGCTCACAAACGTGGAGAGACTTCATTATCTCCGCTCGGCGCTCATATACACAGTGGCACTTATCGATCATGTGATACCACGGCTCTCTCACGTGTCATCTCACCATGTCGGACGATCATAAAACGGGCAAGGCGGACCGCCCGGTGACTCAGCAACTGGAACTGCGGCCGGGAGATCGCTTATCCTCGAGGACGGCGTCTCCGGCTCGGCTCTCCACGGAACTCGCCCTGAGGGTGCAGACGCAGCTGGGTCGGATCTCTACTCTCAAGGCCATCGCAGAAATTCTCCCGGAGTCCCCTGTACAGATTTCTATTGAAGAGGTAAATCAGCTCTGGCTTCAAATTGAGGAGACGCACAAGGCGTTTCTCAAGGAACACACCTACTTCGAGGTCTCATGGCCCTCTGCGCTCACTCATCACGAGCATTTCTCGGGAAACGCTCATCAGGAGGAAACGCTGTGCCACACGCACGCGCAACGCATCATCGGCGTACTCCGCCACTCACTGACAGCTTCGTCCGCTCAATCAACCTGTGGTTCGTCGGTCACGCCCTCGAACTGAAGAGACGGTGCAATCGTCGAGACCAGCTCACACGTCCGCTCATCCTGCTCAACTCTACTCGCCACAGCCGTGGCAGCTCATCCACCACTCATCGCTCAGCGCGTCTACTCATGGACGCAGGATCCGAACTCACCTTCGTCACGGAGAATCTCATTCGGCAGCTCAACATCCCTCATCAATACTCAGGTATGGGCGTCAATGGAATTGCAGGCAAGGAGTGTACTCGGACACGAGGAGTCGTGTCGCTCACGTTGCGCTCGACACATTCCAACGCACCTGCCACAATTCAAGCTCATGTCCTCCGGACAGTTACATCAATCTTACCATCTTTCGAGGCGGAACCGGAAGAATGGCCGCATCTCAGGACCTTGGCACTAGCCGATCCAGACTGTCTCATCCCGCGGCCTGTTGACATCCTCATCGGCGCAGACGCTTACGGGCAAATCATCAAGCCCAATATCATTAGGCATTCTCCACTCATGCCGATAGCGCAACTCTCTATGTTCGGATGGCTCGTTCTTGGACCAATCAACAGAGAAGCAAGACGCACATCAACGCATCATGCTGCTACTCAATTCAACGAGGATGCTCTTAATGAGTTATTGACGAAATTTTGGAATCAAGAGGAGGTGCCTACTCACGATGTCACTCAGCTCACTCCTAACGAGCAGAGGTGCGAGAAGCACTTCAATACTACACACTCTCGTGATTCTTCAGAGAGGTACATCAGGATTCTACTCAAGTCACCAAACGATCTTTTGGGTGGTCTTACAACGTCGCTCATCAATGTCTGAAGGGATTACGCAGACGATTCTCAAGGGATGTGAATTATCAACGTCTCTATCAACAATTCATGATTGATTACGAGACACTCAACCACATGACGAAGGCATCATCTCCAGTCATCGCTCACACTTTCACCTGACACATCACGGTGTTCTCAAGCCGGACAGGATTACAACGAAACTGCGGGTGGTTCTTAATGGCTCTAGCGCATCCACATCAGGCTACTCTGTCAACGACCTCATGTACACTGGAGCAAAATTACATCTGAACATCTCAGAGGTTCTACCATGGAGACGTAGACATCGTCACATGTTCGCTACGGACATCACCAAAATGGACAGAGATTCAGACTCACAAGGATGACTGGGAGTTACAGCGGATACTCTGGATGGACAATCAGCTCAATGAGGTGCCATATCATTCAACAACGGTCACTTACGGGACGAAGGTCGCACCATTCTCAGCCTTACGGTCCTTGTTACAATTAGCAGAAGACGAAGGACATAGTTTCCCACTGGCTGTGCCAGTTATCACTCACGGCAGGTATGTCAATGATATATTTGGTGGTGCAGATACAATACAATTGCAGGAGGTCGCACATCAACTAAAGGGCCTCTGCATCTCGGGCGGCTTCCCACTGGCAAAATGGCATGCAACTCATCTCGACATACTCAAGACTGTCACCGACAGCGAAGACCAAGGCTCACAAATCACCTTCGACGATTGCGCAACCAAGATACTCGGACTCAAATGGCTCCCTCAAGAAGATACCCTTGCATTCTCAACCCGAAGCTCACGCTCGGAAGGCAGACTCACAAAACGCCTCGTCTTATATGAAGTGGCTCAGATACTCGATCCACTTGGTTTTGTATCACTTGTCGTGATCAAGGCCAAAATTCTCTTGCAGGAGCTGTGGCTGCACAAGCTCCAATGGGATGATCCACTGCCATCCCAGCTCTCAGCCCGGTGGCTCATCATCAGAGAAGAACTCACAAGCTTGGCCAAGCTCTCAATACCACAGTGGCTCAACACGTGGAGCGACTCGCAAGTGGAACTTCATGGATTCTCTGATGCTTCTCAATTGGCAATGGCTGCAGTCATATACATATCCGTTCACGACTCAAACGGCGCCACGTTCTCACTTGTGGCTCCAAGACTAAGGTAGCACCTCTCAAGCGGCTCTCAATCCCGCGACCTGAACTCACGGCTGCTCTACTGCTCTCTCGACTCATGCAATACGTCAAAGCCACTTTGAACATGGACGTAACGGCAACTCACATGTGGACGGACTCTCTAGTGACACTTTCGTGGATCAGATCTCATGCATCACGCTGGAAGGATTTTGTTAGGAGCAGGGTGGCTCAAATTCAAGAACTCACTCCAGCTGCTCACTGGAGATACATACCTGGAACTTCCAATCCGGCTGATTGCGCATCACGAGGCCTCACGACTGCTCAATTTCAAGGTCAATCACTTTGGTGGACGGGACCACCATGGATACTCAACCCAAACTCATGGCCGTCGCAACCTGCACTCTCTGAAGAATTGAGTGCAACAGAAGCTCGCCCAGGCGTTTCGCCATTGACGGTTACGCCAAGGACTGATTATCAATGGGAACTCAACTACAGGTACTCAAGCCTCACTAAACTATTGAGGATTACAGCTCTCTGTTTCAGATTCGTCTCACGGTTGAGGAAAGTCCACGACTCATTGCCTGTCACATCTCTCCAGAGACCTTGGAGAAAGCGAGGCTCTTCTGGATTCAGGCAGCTCAAGCAACGCACTTCTCTCACGAGCTCAAGGCGCTACAAGCAGTCTCACCGTTGGCAAAGGCACACTCATTCAACCGATCAACTGCGTACATCGACGCTCAAGGAGTCATTCGCGTCGGCGGACGCCTCGCTCACGCAGCTCTCTCACTCGATGCGACACATCCTGTAATATTGCCTCGTCACTCTCAGCTGTCGTCATTGATCATCGCTCACGCTCATCAACGGACTCTACATGGAGGCACGCAGCTTACGCTGTCACACATCCGACAACAATACTGGATTCTCGGCGGGAGGGCTCCTGTCAAGTCTCACATCCTGCGGTGTGTCACGTGTGCTCGGCAGAGGGGGATCCGTGCTCATCAATGGATGGGCCAACTACCTCTCTCTCGGGTTACGCAGGCACGACCGTTCACTCATACAGGCGTGGACTACGCAGGGCCACTCACCGTCAAAACATGGAAAAGAAGAGGTGCCAAGACCACTAAAGACTGGATTTACGTTTTTGTCTGCTTCTCAACTTCAGCAGTACACCTCGGGGCGGTTAGTGATTACTCATCCGAAGGGTTCATTGCCGCCTATCGACGCTTCTCATCCAGACGCGGCATCGCTCACACCTTACAATCAGACTGCGGCACCAATTTCATCGGCGCGGATACGGCTCTCAAACGGCTCTTTATCCAGAGCACTCAAGACCATCAGCGAGTTTCTCACCTGCTCTCGCAAGATAACAACCGATGGGAATTCAATCCCCCAGCGACACCTCACATGGGAGGAAAATGGGAGGCCGTCGTGAAACCAATCAAATTCCATCTACGGCGCACTATTGGAGAAAGCGTACTCACCTTCGAGGAACTCACCACATTGCTCACTCAAATTGAGGCAATTCTCAACTCGCGACATCTCTAATCATTGAGTGACGACTCAGAAGACATCTCAGCACTCACGCCAGGCCACTTCCTCGTAGGAAGTCCGCTCACCACCATACCAGAGTCATCACTCACCGACCTGGCAATCTCAAGACTCTCACGATAGCAACTCATCCAGCAAAAGGTACAACATTTTTGGACACAATGGTCAGCGCATTACCGACAACGTCAACAGGTCATCTCAAGGTGGCATCACAGGAACAATGAGATCAAGATCGGATCATTGGTGCTCATCACAGACGGGCGGCTGCCACCATGCAATTCAGCCCGGATGTCAGCCCTACATCCTAGGAAGGATGGACTCGTGCGGGTGGTGACTTTGAAGACAGCCACTGCCACACTCATCCGACCAGTGATCAAGCTCTCCGTCCTGCCAATCTCATCTTAAGATCAGGGCTCATCAACAACGTTGCTGATGGCGGGCGGAATGTTCGAGATTAATTTGAATCTCGTTTATTTCATCCCCGGCGTGATGGCAGCATCAGCCGGGTCAGATCGTGCAGCGCCGCATGAGCGCTGCTCGCGCATGCCCGATCGCGACGCGAGGCGACCGCGCGACTTCACGTACGTTACCGGCGCTCTTGGTCTCATAGCGACCGTACGTAGTACACGCGTCTTGAAGTGCGGATAATTATCAAGTGCTCTTTTGTGGACTTTCTCATTTTCTAACTTTCTCACTTTCTCATTTTCTCATCGAAGAATAGACTCAGTGCGGACACGCAGTGAACTCTCAACAGTGCAAATCATCCAGGACATTTTAGATACAGCATCAACGGCAGCTCAAGCTCACCACGCATCGCACGCCGGCGCCGCGTGGACACGGCTCACGGGCATCTACATTCAAGAGGCCGACTCTCGATTAATATAATCGACCCGTGCAAGTGACTAAGAGACTGATCATCCCCGTTAAATCATAGACTGCTCAAACTGTAAGCCTCGAACATGGAGCAATCACAAACATTCGAATATGCGTACATACACACATACACACACACACACATACAGACATTTTGTAAAAAATATATTTTTTTTACGTTTTAAAACATTTTAAACATATTCCCAAAGAAAACTGGAAAAAAATTTTTCCACGAAAAAAAGCTTCCTCTATGTGGAAGCAATATAGAGAACATGTCGAAAAGTTGTACAATTAAAAAATACTAATAAAAGGTCGAAGGCCACTTTTTTTATTTTTAGCCAAATGACTCGTCATCTAATTAGTGACGCTCATGAATGGATTAACGAGATTCCCACTGTCCCTATCTACTATCTAGCGAAACCACTGCCAAGGGAACGGGCTTGGAAAAATTAGCGGGGAAAGAAGACCCTGTTGAACTTGACTCTAGTCTGGCACTGTAAGGAGACATGAGAGGTGTAGCATAAGTGGGAGATGGCAACATCGCCGGTGAAATACCACTACTTTCATCGTTTCCTTACTTACTCGGTTGGGCGGAGCGCGTGCCCCGAGGGCATCGTGCCCCGGCGGTCACGGTGTTCTAGAGCCAAGCGTGTCAGAGTGGCGTGGGGCCTCGGCCTGATCGCCGTTAATACTCCCGCGTGATCCGATTCGAGGATACTGCCAGGCGGGGAGTTTGACTGGGGCGGTACATCTGTCAAAGAATAACGCAGGTGTCCTAAGGCCAGC